ATCAGACATGTGAGAAAACCTGCAATGGTAGTGATCCTTTTCCTGTTTCAACAGCTATGTTATTTCAGCACCCAAAGTCTTCCAGGTCGGAGCATCTGAAAATGTTGTAATTCAAGCCCATGGCTACACCGAAGCATTTGATGCAACAATCTCTATAAGAAGTTATCCTGACAAAAAAATGACCTATTCTTCAGGCTATGTTAATTTATCTCCAGAAAATAAATTCCAAAACTCAGCAATGCTAACAGTATGTATTTATTCTTTTTTTTCTTTATGTACTTTTGGTAAAAATGTGTGCAAAGCTTGAACGTTGATAAAGTTATAGTCATCGGTATTGTTTCAAAACTGTGTGATTATGAGATTGTTAACAGTCGTTAGTGATGAGGGAAACCCAAAACTCTGAACATAAAAATAACATTTCCTCTTGTGAGTCAAGTGTGCCCATGCCCACATTTTTAAAAATAAAATATTTTCTACAAAAATATTTGGAGATGAACCGAAATACTTTTTTAAAAAATTGAAATAACATTAACTGAAAATATTTTTAGGCGAAAATTAGGAAAGGAGAAATGTTAGTTAAACGTGCATATGGGTGTTTGAATGTTTGCTAAACTTCATATAGTTCCCCTTGCTATGGGATTGTTGACTGCTGCAGCCAACTGCTCTCACTGCAAACACAGTGAGTGAAAAGTACAAAGTGATCAGAGAACTTCAAATGCTTTGAGAATTTGAGTTCAGATTGGTTAGATGCTTGAGCTCCACTTTTATTGTTTGAGCATGTCATTGTAGATGCTGATGGGTTCATAAAGACAAATTCTTACAAGTGCGTCGTGTGCTTTGACCATATTTATTCCCCTCAGCCCTCCTCATCCACTCTCCTTTTTCTCCCCCTCCTGCTAGTATGCTTTTTACTCAGGGCTCCCTTCTATTTCCTAATATCGTGTGTGTGTGTGTGTGTGTCTGCAATGAGAGAAAACACGCAAACATGTAATGTTTGTTTTCTGAGTCTGGCTCACTCCATTTACTGTGGAGATCTCCAGCTGCATCCAATTCACAGCAGCTTTGTCTTTTGTGGTAGAATAAAACTCCACCATGTGAACTTATTCTGTATTTCTGTATCCATTTACCTGTTGATGGACAAGCAGACTGTCTCCGTGGTTTGGGTATCATGACTAGTGCAATGATAAAGATGGGTGTACAAGCATGTCTTACCGTGTTGACTTTTATCGCCCCTGGTACATGCCCAAGTGCTATAGCTTAGCCAGAAGTACTTCTATTTTTAGGAACTTCCACACTGGTTTTCCTAGTGGCTGCACCAGTTTGCACTCCCTTCAGCAATAGCAAGGGTTCTCTTTCCCTGCATCCTCACCAGCATTTCTTGCTCTTATCACCATTGTGAGGATGGCTGTTCTTACTGGAGGGAGATGGGGTCTCAGTTTCTTTGGCGTTTTCCATAAGGCTAAGGGTGTAGAGCAGGTTTCCATATGCTCGTCAGCAGTCGGGGCTTTGTTGCTTATGAACTGTGGGATCGTTTCACTACCCAATTTATTGCTTGTGTTGTTTGGAGTTTTGTTTCATTTTGTTTTAGTCCTTAGTTTTAAAAGTCCTTTATTCTAGATAATAATTCTCCATCAAATGTATAGGAAAAATTCTCCTGTTATTGGTGCCACGTTTTCACTTGTTTCCTTCCTTGTACAGAAAACATTAAGTATTTCTTTCAGTCATGTTTGCTGGCTCTGGGTATCATTGTCTCCTGAACTGTTGGAGTACTGTCCAGAAAGAGTCCTTGTCTGTGTTTGCCTCTTGAAGTGTCTTCCGATGCTTTCCTCTAACAGCTTCAAGATTTTCTGGTCTCATTAAAAAGCAAACTAGAACGGATGTATTCTTTTTTATTTTATGGAATAGTGTGGTCAGCACAGAATCCGCTGTGACTGCAACTGGGATTGGGCATTTTTAGTAAGTTTATTACTGTTTGAATCCCATCGGCTTGTTATAGATTAGTTTAAGTTGTGCATGCTCTCTTAATTTAATTTTGTTAGGTCATACATGTCAAGAAATTTATCCATTTCTTCTTTTCAAATATTGGAATATAGGTTTTCAAACTTATTCTAACAAGTTACTGAGCTTTGTTAAAATCTGTGGTGAAGTCTGTCTTTTATCTCTAGTTTTAGTTTATCTATCATCTATCTACTTATCTATCTTCATCATCGTCATCATCATTATCTATCTCCGATAGCTTGTCTAAGAGCCACTGATTATTATTTCTCCTTTAAAGAGAAATAATTGTATCCACAGATTCTGTTGTTTTCATTTTTATTCGATTCTTGGAGTTTTTAACTTCCCTTCTCATCCTTGGGGATTGCTCATTATCCAGCAATGTGTTATTCAATCTGCATGACCTTCATATTTTCTATAATTTTCCAACTATCGATTTCTAGTTTGAGTCCACTGTCCTCAGATAGAATATAAAGAAATCATTTAAACTATTTTACTCAGTTAGACATGCTGTATGTCCTAAAAGGTGGTGTATTTTAGAGAAAGTTCTGTGGGTCACTGAGAAAAGCATGTTTGCCTCAGTGTTTGGGTAGAATATTCTACAAATGTTTTTGCTAAGTCCATATGGCTTACAATACCATTCAAACCTGATATTTCTTGGTTATTTTGTGGATGGGGTCTGGTGAGAGTATGATGCTGAAGACAACTACCCTTGTTCTGTTGATGTCAATCTGTGCCTTGCATCCAGCAGCGTTTGGTACGTATCCAGGTGTGCTGGTGTCCAACATTCATATGTCTGAGATTGGATGCCTTCCTAGTGGATTGTTGCCTTAATTAATATGAAGTGACTTCTTAATCTTTTTTGACTAGTTTTTAAGTTTATTTTTTCAGGTGTCATGGTAACTATGCTTGCTTGTTGGCTAGTCCTTTTGCTCCGAATTCCTTTTTCAGCCCTTCCGATCTAAGGCTGCTTGTCTTTGCCAGTAAGATGTGTTTCTTGCAGTCAGCAAACAGATAAGTTCCATGTTTAAGATCAATCTGCTGTGTCTTTCAGCTGGGGAACTGAGACTATTGACATCCGGACTTATCACTAAAAGGTGTGCTGAATCCTGTTGTTTTGCTGTTATGTAGTGTTTGGCATTTTCTATTCCTTAATTATACTGTTCTGGTACACAGCTTATTCTTTCCTGTGGCTTCACAGATGTGTTCATCTTTCTTTTCATTGTGGCATCTGTGATGCTGACATGTGGTCATAAATTCCTTCAGTCAGTGTTGGCTGTTAGATGATGTTCTCTCTTCTTTACTTATGAGGGAAACCTTGCTGGATATAGCAATCTGGTTTGGCAATCGTCTTTCACAGCTAAAAATACCTCTTTCCATGCTCTCTTGATATTTGGAGTTTCTGTGCAAGAATTTGCTGTTACTCGGATGTGTTTTGTTTCTATAAATGATTCTGTGTTTCTCACTTGCAGTTTTCAATATTCTTTCTTTGTTCTGTGTAGTTAGTGTTTTAATTATAGTATGAAGTGGAGAGGTTCTTTTCTGCTCTAGTGTATTTGGAATATTAAATGTCTTCCCATTTCTTTCCCTAGATTTGGAAGTTGCTCCATTTTTATTTGTTGAATATGTTTTCTAGGCTTTTAGCTTGAACACTTCTTTGTTCCTGAACTATAGAGTTGTCCCATAAATGATGTATGTTCTGTCTGTTCAGTGTCATTGTTGTTTTATTATAGCCATTGTCTGGCTTCTTTAAGTTACCTATATTGCCTTTAAACCATGTCTTCCACTTGATACACTCCTTTGGAAAGGCTTTCCTCTGGGTTTTAAATTCATTTTTTAAGGAGATAAGTCCCCAGATAAGGGGAGTCTGGACTGCAGGCCAGATAGCAGAAGGGTGTGAGAACCTGGACTGCAGGTCTTGAAAATGTGCTGTACAGGAAGATAAGCAGGCACAGAGAATAGAAACTTAACTAAGTGTTAGTCTCTCAGAACACAGTGGGAATATGAAGACGGCTTCTATTATGCTATCCTCATTTAGGGACCTCCACATACAACCACCCAGCTGCTGCTCCCATCAATCCCCAAGAGGAGATCCCAGTACTCTGTGGTACATGATACAGTGTTTAGATCCAGGCTTCCTGTCTGATTGGACTGCAGATCTGCTCAGTCATTCTGCCATTGTACTTTTTCAGTCTCTGGGTTTTGTTTTGTTTGTTTTTTTCTTTTAGACTGTCACCTTCCTCCACTCCCACCCCCATGTGAGTGTGTGTGTGTGTGTGCACGCTACTGGCCAAACATACTTGTGGAGGCCAGAGGACAAGCTCAGCTGCGGTTCCTTGGTTGCCATCTGCCTTCAGTGTCTCTCACTGGCCTGGAATTCACCAGTTGGGGGAGGCTGGCCAGGTGGCGGGCCCGAGTTTTGGAAGGTGGAAACAAGTGCTGGCCACAACACCCAGCATTTTTGTAACATTGATTTTGAGGACTTGAATCAGGACCTCATGCTTGCAAGGCAAATACTTTACCAACTGGGCTGTCTTTCCGGCCCTTTTCAGAGTTCTTAGAAAACGGAAATTTCCCGTTGCTGACAGCTAAACTTTCATCATGACGGTAGACAATGAAGGGCTTCTGACAAAACTAGTTTTCCCTTCTAACCCTTGTGCTGTTTGTTGTTTTTTTTTAACTTGCTGGCTGAATTGGTTTAATTTTTGAGATGGTGACTCCCTACGTAGCCCAGGGTGATCTTGAACTTGTGATCTCTCTGCTTCAGTCTCTACAGGGCTAGGCTGCACCACTCTCTAAATGATGCAATATGCAGCATTGTTTTTGGTTCTAATGAGATTGCAGCGGCTGTGCAGTATGCTTTATAACCTTAGAATTAGACCGTTTCCATTGTTATTCTTACAGATACAACCCAGCCAACTGCCTGGAGAACAAGACTCGGTCTCACATGTGTACCTAGAAGTTGTGTCAAAGCATTTTTCAAAATCGAAAAAAATTCCACTAACCTATGACAATGGATTTCTCTTCATCCATACAGACAAACCTGTTTACACTCCAGACCAGTCAGGTAGAGTATAAAGCACTTCTTTATGGGGAAACTGATATAGACCTTTTTGACACATGGATCTGAAGGAAAAATGGTTTCCACCCTGAAAAAAAAAATAACAACCTCAAAACCGGCTCTCAGTTCCTAATTACTTTGTATATTTTCAAATAGCATTAGATTTTTAATTTATAGGGAAATGCCTAAGTAGATTGAAAAACCAAAAATTACAGTTGCCACATTATCAGTTATTCCTAAGTACATAAAAAGCCCCTAAATATTGCAAAATGTTGTTAGAACTTACACGTTAAACAAATAAACTTCATTTCAAGTAAAATTTCGACAAAGGAGAAATATTTGATATCGAGTCATGTTCATAACAAATGCAGAGTCAGGACTGAGTCCTCAAGCTGGGAACTGGCACCCAACGTGGGGAGACTAGATGCTTCAGATGAGACGACCAACATCGTAGGAATGCGTGGATAGTAGTACTAGCGGTCATTTATCCTCAAAAATGTCTGTTAAGAAAGCGCTGTAGTCATAGCTCTTCTGCTACAGAGGGAAGGCAGCGGCCTCAGCCCTGTGGTTAAGGAAAGCCCGGATTTACCCAGATAGGAGCGTAGGAACGCTTCTCCTCATGTCAGTCTTCAATTCTTTCATTTCTCCTCCTCTCCATCATTGACTGTAAACCACATCAGTGACGATCTGTAAGAGACACAGATGTGGAAAGAGGAGTGGATGAGATTTCATTGATAATACTGATGGGAAGGACGGAGCAAGGGGAGGCGGGATGGGCGAGCTTCATTCAAAAGCACTGCATAGTATTCTAGTGGTGGCGGTTGTTGATGACGTCAATGGGGATGTGGCTAGAGCGCCTGCTATGATTGACTCAGGCAGGAAAAGCCTACAGAGGGCCAGGATGCCACTATGAGAATAGTGTGAGCTCATGACCGAAAGATGTCCGGGGGGGAGGGGACACTGGCACCCTTATGTTGGCTCACAACTGTCCAGTAACTCTGATCTCAAGGGATCTGTCACCCTCTTCTGGCCTCTGTAGGCATAGCATGCACACAGTACACAAAAAACATTCGGGCAAAACACGCATTCACCTAAAATTCTTTTAAGGCTGGGAAAAAAAAAAACCAAGGATGATTTCTTTTCAAAGAAAAGTTACAGTCTCTCCACACAAAGATTAGGCCTGAGGGAGTGTGACCTGAGAGTTGTAAGCCGAAATAAAGCTTTTTCTCCCCAAGCTGCTCTTGGTCATATTGTTTTGTCCCTATTCGACTTTGTAAGTAGAAGAATACATACTGTCTGAATCAAACTTCCAATTTTCCATCAACTAAAAACAGCATCTGATACTCTCATCTAATCATATGATAGCTACTTGATAGTTACAGACACTAGTTTTATACTATGGATGTGTTCCCAAACGGGGTATACAAATATATATTTTTAACATATTGAACTATATGCTAAATTCAATACAAGTATCTCCTTAAATAAATCCATCCCAAGGTATTCTCTTTCTTTTTAATACATATTCTCTTGAGAGAAAGAGAGAGAGAAACAGACAGAGAGCTTGAATATATATTTTCATTTATGGATTGTGCATGTAGCCTTTTAAATGAGAATTATCTCATTAAGGATGACTGTGAAAAAATTTAAAACTACTAGGCATAAGCCTGTAATCCCAGCTACATGAGAGGCTGAGGCAGGAGGATTATGAGTTCACAGCCAGACTAGACTTCAGGGTGAGTTTAAGGTCAGGCGAATCAATTTAATGAAACCCTGGCTGAAAATAAAAAGTGAAAAAAAAAGTAAATAAATAAATGAAAGACTGGAACCTGCTTGTGTGTCAGAGTTTCTGATGATATCACATGTTTCTGCAGTAAAAGTCAGAGTCTACTCACTGAATGACGACTTGAAGCCAGCCAAAAGGGAGACTGTCTTAACTTTCATAGTAAGTATTTATTTCTGTGAAAATCTCTTTAACCTATTTACTATCCCATCCATATACTACACTAAATCATTTGATGTCACATAAAAGGTTATTAAATGCTTAGCATGAATGTAGCATTATAGATCTACACCTTAGGGCAGACAGGTAGAAAGCTCAGACAAGCTAACACAGGGAAGGGTACTGATCTAAACCATCGACATCTGTCCTCCGTTCTACTTAGTTTCTAAAGCATGCCCATCAAGAAGTAAATGACAGGGCTGACGAGCTGGCTCATTGGTTAAGAGCACTTGTTCTTGCAAAGGACCCAGGTTCAATTCCCAGCACCCACATGAAGGCTCACTGCCTCCTTGAGCACCAGGCACACATGCGATACCCAGACAGACATGCAGGCAAAACATTTATACACCCCAAAGAGCAAAGTAAGTCTAAAAGAATACTTGACTGTCTGTGACATAAAACTTTGATTTGTATGGTTTCACTTGTTTTAAGGTTCTTGGGCTTTAATGTCTGGTATACTAATAGTCTCAGCATCTACCATCCACTAAACTGACAAATCATACACAGCAGATGATGTAAACCAACTTCCACAGTTTTGCCTGTTCATAAAATGTATAATAAATCCCCAGAGACATTTTTATGAGGAAATAACCACTGCAATTGGTCAGCTGCTCACTTACCCACAGTTCTACAAATGACTTATAGGTATCTTTTCTCATTCCCAAAGTTAGGGTGCACATATAAAGGGGTGTGTATTAGAACAAAGCTGTACTAGAACATATACAGAAATGTGCACTAATGACTCAAGACTTCTGGAGGAATATGCAGTACGATGAGCCTGAGGAGTGATGTGTTCCTTGTCCGGAGTGGAGAAGGGAAAGGAAAGCCTGGTCCTAATGAAAGGAGCTGTCACAGGTTCTTTGGAAGTGATGAAGGCTATCCGTGTAGGCGCTAGCGTGAGTTCATGTATAGACACAACAGGGAAAATTACTGTGACGAAACACCATGACCAAAAACACCTTGGGGAGGAAAGGGTTTATTTGGCTTACACGTCCACATCATAGTCCCTCACTGAAGGAAGTCAGGGCAGGAGCTCAAGCAGGGCAGGAGCCTGGGGGCAGGAGCTGATGCAGAGGCCATGGAGGATGCTTCTCACTGGCTTGTTCTTCATGGCTTGCTCAGCCTGCTTCCTTATAGAAGCCAGGACCACCAGCCCAGGGACAGCACCACCCACACTGGGCTGGGCCCTTGCACATCGATCACTAATTAGGAAAGTGCCCTATGGGCAGGGCTACAGCCTGATTTTACGGAGGTGCATTCTCAGCTTTGGCTCCCTCCTCCTGATGACTCTAGCTCCCGTGAAGCTGACATACAACTAGCCAGCACAATGAGAACAGTGTAGACGCAAACAAGCAGAGTAAATAAATTGACTGGCAGTCTGAAGCGATGTCGGCTCAAACGTTCTTACGTCTACTGGAGAATGAGGGGTGAAGCGACACAGTCTCTCTTTTCCTACCTTGCCGCAAGTGAACTTGAGTGAAACTGAATCTTGGAACCACATGCAAAAGTAGTGGATCCCCGTCATCCATGGAAGAGCTTCCTGAGGGTAGAGGGTTGAGCTCAGAGCCACGGGGAGGCAGGGTGTAGGAGGCAATCTGAGTAAAGGATTTGAGAAAGGCCCCTCGTGAATGATGAGATGACAAAGAGCAGCCAGGAAGACACTTAGCTGTGAATCTGTGAGGACCATTCTTGTTTAAAACAGGCTCTTTTTCAATTCGTAATCCAAGAAAAAAATAAACCCCAAATTTCTAGCCATGACTCCCAGTCATGGTAAATAGTAAACAATGTTGAGTTTTTAAGTTAAGGCTCACCAGAAACTCCATGAAGAGATCTAAGAAAGCCCCAAGTCACTGACTCAAACATTTATGGGGAAGATTTATGAGAACTTTCAGTGTGTGTAACCATTTTAAGGGTTGTAACTGAGCTAAAAAGTGTGTGTGAGAGGGACAGACAGACAGAGAGAAATGTTTTGTTAATCCCAAAGATCAGAGGAAAAAGACCACCAATCAAAATCATCATGGTCATATTAATTAAAGCAAGCAATTAATTAAAACAAGCTCTTTTATTCATGTACCCAGACTGCCTCCCCCTAAGGTGGGGTTCGAGAGGTCAGCCTTGGATGTGAGGAAGTCAAGGCTATTACAGCTCCAGTATGGAGTTTCCAAATGGGATACTGGGGGAGGGGGATAGATGGGGATACAGGAGCAGAGCATATGCACAACAAATTAGTCCTAACAACCTCCTGAAAGCAAGACATGCAAGGTGGTCATCACAAGGTGGTCATAACAACAGATACTCACAGGTGGCCACATAACCTTTGAAAGAAAGGTAGGGCTGCAAAACAACTTTTTGAAACAAAGACATGATTGCTATTCCTGGAACAGGCAGTTAAGAACCATTCATAGTTAAAGTTACAGATGGAGCATAGCCTAATCCTTGAGAAACAGAGGTTTAATCATAAACAGGAATGAATCTAGTTTGTCTTTACTATAAGATGGCTTTTAAGCCTAAAATGGAGGTGGGCTGGTTCTTCAGTTTAGCAAAAGAAACGTGTTGTTTTTAAATACCAAATGAGGAGTTATTTTGCTTTTGTCCTGTATGTTATTAAAGCACCTGCGTTTTCTGAGGCTGAGTCTCACTGTGTAGCCCAGGCTGGCCTTGAATTCACAATCTTCCTTCCTCTCCCTCCCAAATACTGGAATGACAAGTGTGGTTTAGTCTGGGCTTGCGTTTCTCCTAGTGTACAATGTAGACAATTAGCCTTTCATAATCTTTGCTTGAATCTTGCCTTTCATATTTATTGAAGTCATGGATGTCTGTTGGGAAATATTTTTTGCAGATCAAGATTATATCGCAGTGGGAAACTTTAAATGTGGGTTCTGTGCTTCCAAAGCTGCTAGGGTGTCACTGTGTCTCCCTGAAGTCCATGTGGGAAAGCTAAATTCTCAGATTGGCAATGTGAGGGTGGGGCTGGGACTCAGGTAGGGCAGGGGGCCCTACCCTATGGATGAATTCCAGGTGTTCCCATGGGGCCAAGTCCTTGGACAGTGGCAGAGCTGAAAGGCCCCCTGCAGAGCCCCCTCACTATGCCACTTCTTATTACAGTAAGCTGAAGGACTCCCCTACCCACCCAAAGCCATTCCCATACTCTTGGACTTACCAGCCTAAGTCACAAGCCTAAATAAATCTCCATCGTTTATAAATCACTGTCTCGGATATTCTTTCATAGTCACAGAAAGTGAACTAAGGTGCAGTGTCTGTTTCTATTCAAAGGATCCAGAAGGATCAGAAGTTGACATCATAGAAGAAAATGATTATACAGGAATTATCTCTTTCCCTGACTTCAAGATTCCATCTAATCCTAAGTAAGTAAAAAATATTTGTTACTAAACTAATTTTCTTCTTTAAAAAGCACGTCTGGAATGGTTTGGGAAGGAGATACACAATTAAATAGAGCCCCCTAGTGTTGGCAGGGTGCCACAGACGTGAATGTGGAGACTTCAGTCACCTGAAGCTGCTTCCTGCTAGAGAAAGAAAAATGTTCTCACTGCTGGGGTCCAGCATAGCCCCACCACCTTCCCAGGTACCCAGGAGACGGAGGCAGGAGGAGTCCAAGGGTTCACTGTCGGCTGGGAAACAGGGATAACACACACACACACACACACACACACACACACACACACACACACGCACGCACGCACACACACATTTTCAGTGTGAGACATATTTAGCTATCACATATCTGTGTATTTGAATCACACTGGAAGTAGGCAATGCAGTCCATAGATGGAGATTCCATCCTTGCTT